GAAAGCAATATACCTGCAATATAGTGGTATCTCTATTATATCAAATAAGCTAATTTACAGTGGTCTGCATTTCTTGGTCATGTAGATTACGAGACAGTAGTCTTTCAAATATGCATTCTGCACAAAATTAATTCCTATGCTTATATTGTTAATACATATAATTTAACTTTGGTTAGATTTTTAAAAACCACAAAAACTAGGCGCAGTGATTTTTAGCTTTTAGCTGTATTTTAGTATATTTTCTACCTGGGTATCTGAGGTCTCACTGGTAAATATTGAAATTAAATCCATGGCTATAAGACTTTTGCTAATGAATGAGGAAACTGTCTTATCTTCAGCTAGGTTATATTCCAAAGTCCCAGAGCAGTGCGCCCCAAGCTTTGTTCATTGATTGGTGCTGAGTCAAGCAGTGTTGTTACCCGTTCACCACAAAATAGGCACAGAAATTGTGAGCAAGCATTTCAATGTGACACTAATTTCACGATTGTCGAATCTAATAATAAAAAACGAGTTTGTGTTTTGTATGTCTCTTAATTTTATTTCTCTAGTAATTCAATTTTATTCTATTTTATGAAAGTATTAATCCACAATAGATTGTAAATTAAAAGACAAAGAAAAAGAAAGATCCTTCCTAAGAAACACTCAGAAAGGCAATGCAGTGTAGTGTGCAGGGTCAGGCCAAACTGGATGGGATTCATAGAGCCGTGTGGACAGGTTACGTGAACACTGTGTCCCAGTGGCCTCAGATGCAAAATGCACATAATGGTATCTGTATCCCAAGATCCTTGGGAAAATCCAGTACATACTGGCTTTGGCGTCAGAGAACTCTCCAGTTTCCTCAACTGTGAAATGGATATAATAATACCCGTGTCACGGAGTGGTTTAAGGACCAGATAACTCAAGCTCACGTCTGTAGCTCAGTGCCTATTCAATGTCTAGCAAAAACCCAAAGTTGGCAGTTTATCATTATTGAAAGTATCTTAAGCACAGTGGGTCCTCAATAAACATTAACTTTTATTTTCTCTCCCTTGTGTAGAGGATTCTGAAACTATGATGCCTCATGATCTCAGCTCAAACATTTGAGTGACCCGGCAGCAGTATCTCAGCCTGACTGTGCCATGTACCGATGCTCTAAAGAATGGTCTGGACTTTGGAGAAACAGTTTGTGGATGTGGCCCATCAGTACAGGCCACTTGTGTTCACCAGCGAACATTTCTCCTCTTATATTTACATCTGAGAATATTCTCCTCAGGGCTGTCTCTGCGTTAAACGATGTGATGCTGGGAGAAGACCATGGACAGCCATATCATAGGAATGCACAGAAGGGCTATTTCAGGTAATGGGGGAAAATGTCAAAGAGAGATAATCCCGTAATCTTGCACAAATTACTAAACATAATGTGTCTTTCATGCCTGCTCTTCAAAGAAAAAAAATTACATGAGGGGGTAGTTGTGATGGGTAAAAAGAGGACCATAAAAGCTCTGCACCACTTTTGAGTTTGCAAAACACTTTGATTTAATTTGATTCTCACAACACTACGGGCAGAACTTTCTAGTCCCACCTCACTGATAAACTTAGGCTGAAAAACTAAATGGTTTTCCAGGCATATATTGCTAATGAAGGCATACCTTAAACTCGAATGCAGTCCTTCGAATTCTAAAACCCATGCATAGAAAATATAGGTGAAGCAAGTTACATTTTAAAGAAAGAATATTGCAGGAGAAGGTCTCAGAAAAATAGCTTGATGTGTGAAAAAATCTGAATCATGAACACAGACCTTTGTGAAAGAAATATAATAGGCAACCAAGAATGAATATATGGATAGGATGTGAGTAGAAAAAAATTGATGTATATCCAAAAATAAAGAAGACTATTTGGAAAAATGTTCAAAGGGTTACAGCTTGTGTCTAAGGCATAACTAGATTCAAAACCCATAGGCATAAATGGAGGGGAAAATGGAAAAGCTGACAGACATTCCTAAATGGCCCCAGGCTTAGTGAGAGAGGCAGCCTTTGAGGATGTCAGATAAACCCCACAGAGAGCCCTAGCGGGCACTTTCAGCTGCAGAACTAACCTTACCCCTTGGCCCAGTTAACCATTCCCTCTCTGGGGAACTCTCCAGAAGGCCAGGGATAGATCACACTGTCAGACAAAGTCCTCCAGCTGCTACCAGATGCCTGCAATCTCATCAGCTCAGTGTTTGACCCTTGATAAGAGGTCAGTAACCTTTATAAGGGCAGCACTTCAAATGTTCTCAGTCATCTATACCTTCATGTGGATGAATTTCAGGTCCTGCCTTGAAAGGTGGTGCTAGCAGTGAAGGGAAGCAGAGACGCAGGGCACTGGGCATTGACGGGAATAAGAAGGGAGTGCACCTTCTCAATGAGACCTGGCAATGCTGCAGGAAGGCATTGCCTTTTCACAATTTTCCCCACAAGTAGGCAACGTATTTTGAGTAATAAAGTATTATATAGAAAAACTGAGTATTTGGGGTATGTGTGTCTATGCAAAGACAGGCAATAAATAATAGCAATACTAAAGATCACTGCTAACGTTCATTCTCCTCTTACTACATGCGAAGCACTGTGCTTGACGATCATTATCCCATTGAATCTTTACAGCCCCCTATGGGGGTTTACTTTCCTCACTTTATAGATGAAGAAGCAGGTTTAGAAACTGTTTATACAGCTTGTAAGTGGTAGAGAAGGAATTCGAACCAGTCAGTGCAATTCCAGTTTAACCACTACATTTGTGAACTACATTTAAGCTGCAATATTTTCATCATATCACATATATGCACACACACACACACACACGCGCATCAATATTCTAGACCCTGTTGCAAGGAAGCCAGAGCCCCTTATTATTATAACTTTTTAAAATAATAAAGCAATCATGATATATAATGGAACAAAATGCAAAATATGAGTGAATTTCTAAGCTAAAACCCAAAGCGTCAAATTAAAAATGGTCTTGCTTTGCTACCTGATTAGGGCAACATGCATAGGCCCTTTGGAATTTTTGTTCTCTCCCCTCTACTATTTTTATTACTTGGCTGAAAAATTTGGACTAAGTATGCACATATAAATATGTGTATGTAGGGATCTGACCTGGATCATGGACCCTTGATCTTCATATTTAAAAATGAATCTGTCCAAGGGGTCTGTTATCTTTATATCATGTTAGAGAGAAATGGTGCCTCTTTCTTTATAGCTGTAAGCTCATTAATAGCATAGTGGGTCTCTATAAACCACAGCAGCTAAAGGGTGACTGCTTCTTTCCCTCTCTCTCACCATGGCAATTATATTGCAATTCACATTTTGTGCGATTATTTGATTCAAAGACAAAAGACATTTTATTCTCTAGCATTTTTTATTTAATGAGCAAAAGAAACACACAAAAAAATCATCCTTATGCCCTACCTCTCCAAATTTTACCCTCAATCATGACTATCTTTGGAAAAGGTTTCAAAAACCAGAAAACACAAGCAAACATAAGACCTCATGCTGTTGGATAGTGAGGAGGCCATTTATTTAGTACACTAGAGTGCAATGGAGGTTGCCGGGTCCAGTGTCTGAATGAATGTGGCCATATCCATGGCAGTGCTACTATAGTCGAACGGACAAATACATGGTATCTTTGAAATATTTTCAACTTATTGATCCTGAACTTTTCTTTAGAAAATAAATGAGTATCCAAAATTCTTCATGGACCCAAGGGACATTTATAAATAGAAAATCTTTGTCAACTTGAAGCCAGATTGGCTTACAGAATTTGTCTAACTGCTAAAATAGAAAGGACTTCATGCCCTTGGAAAGATTCTAGGTATAGTCATGGCATGGGCATCCATTAGCTTTTAATCATTTATGTAGTTCTTGCTAAAACTTTGAAAAATTATTTTATTTTTTATTGCATTCTCTGTTAACTTTTGATCCAATCTGATAAGAAATATCCATAGGATGGTCATAGAATATAAAATAAAACAAACCAGGGTTACAGTCTATGGCAAGATGGCACACGTACAGGCTCTCACTCTACTGAAAGAAGAGGCTTTGTAAAATTTATTCGAACATATGAGCATGTGGGCTCCAGCTGAGAAACATTTCGATTCATTCAAAAAATGAGTTATGTTATTATCACAATAATCTGACATCTCTCAGAACTTTAGTCTTCCCACTGTAAATGTATATTGCATTTATCTTTCCAAGATGACTTTTATATGGGGATCTAAGCTTCTTTAAAAATAAGTTCCACATGGATACAAACTAATGTTATTCATCCCAATTTCACCACTCCCAGAGGAAATCCCCTCTGCAAAGACAACTACACTGCCTGCTGCTGCTCAGAGAGAAGGGTTAATGCCTTTCGTCACTCTTTCTGCCCCTGAAGTTTTCATCTGCACAGAACAGACAACGAGGCACCAACGTGGCAGAGTGAGAGGCCAAAAGATCAAGAATCAATATAGTGATGTGCTTTGTGATATCTGCTTGATTAGGTGACTTTCACAAAATACATAAGAGGTTTATACTTACCATAAACAGTAATCAAATGAACAGAACACTGTGAAAGCAAGTCTCAGTGTCTTGTTCTAATAGAAGCAAACAATGACATGTAAAATGTTCTATTTGAGGTACTTCACAAATATGTCTACCTAATGGGGATTTTTACCCCACATATCTAATTTTTAATAACCCATGAGTTATTATTAAAGCTATTTGGTGTTCTTCTACTACATTCCATTTAGGTAGTGGTAGGAAGTAGCCCCATTTCATACTAGCTAGAAGGGCACACCTATTTGGGATGAAAAATCCACCATAGCTAATCCTCGAAAGTGAAATTTCTCCATCCTATAATCAGGAGTTGCTGGGCATTTGATTAAATACCCCAGGCATTTGATCCCCAACCTACTTTTCATTTCTCCCCCCAACTGGCAAACAAGAGAAATCGGACTAAGAACCTGAAGAGACAAAGTGTGTTCTTTAATACAGAAACGCTTTTACCTGCCGTCCTGCTGTGAACGAAATGGGCTGGGCTTTCAAAATGTTAGTCAGCTTAACTCCCAGTTGGTGGCACTGGGAAAATGCAGCCATGCAGTCTTATTGCTCTGTTTCTGTTCTTTAACTGCCAACTGGAATACAATAGAGGAGTCAAATGGAAACAACAGAAAGATGGATCCAGAAAGAACCAAGAGGATGACAACAAAGCAAGCGAAGAAAATGATAAGATTCAAAAGACACTGTGTCAGCAAAGTTGGCATCCCAGACTATTTTCACATTGGAGACAATTAAGCTTCAATTAACTGCCACTTCCCCTTAGAAATTCGTGGTATTTTACAAATCACAAATTATCTAGTAGATATTCATCCCTGCAACATTTTAAGAGAAGTCATATGATATGTTTAACCCGAAGGGAGAATGGCCACACCACCACATTGCTCAGATGTGGATAATATATGTTTTATGTATTGGGAGAGATTTTAGGATAAACAAACAGGGTCAAAGTGTTGAACTCATTATTTTTGGACTACAAAGAGAGTAACTTCATTTCAATAGATTATAGTATATGTAGTAAATATAGAGGGCTAGAGATTTGAATATCCTCATATTGTATCAACAGGTACCTGGAACTTTACTTCTGAACAGCTTCTCCATCATCTCACCATTGTCTTTTGTACTTTTTTACTTCTCATGCAGACATTTTGTTATGATTAACAGTAGACACAAGGCTGACACTTACCACAAAATCCCTCTTTCCCCTTTTAACTTTAGAACATGTCAAAGTATGTGTGCCATTGTCTTTGGTTTGTGCACATTTAAGAATTCACACATCAAAAGATAAACTTCAAGGGTTAGAGAACAACATGCCTTCCCTCCCAAATTATAATGTACATAATTTATATTTTATTTAAATATATTGCCTGATATTCTAAATTACAGTTTTATAAGCTGAAAAGTATGGAAAACCAGTAAAAATAATGTGATTTATACAGAAATAAAATTCATTAAACAGCTTGGCTTTAAATGTCTCGAATTGGTCACAGTTTAGACAATATATATGAAGCTTTGTATTATAGGTTTATGTATCAAATTGATAAATATCAACCTTCTTGAGGCTAAAATAATGATAAATAAAATCAAATATAATCTCATCTTATGGGATATGATAAAATCTTACCTCATCAGATGTGATATCCAAAATGTTTAATTTTCCCTGTGATTTTATTAATAACATGTTAGGATTCTTCTAATAGAGAGTCTTTTTATATAGAACACTGTCTTTGGGTGTAATCAGGGTCAGGATATTAATTAGGTGATCCAAAGTTAGAGTACAAATTGTAAACAACTTTTGTTGTTGTTGTTTCAACCAATCTGAAAGTTCAGGATAAAGAAAAAAGAATAAGAATTTTCCACTGGCCAGCAAAAAGGAAAAAAAAATCAATACTAAGGTCATTATGTACATTGCTGTGAACTTGCTAGCATTTTATATTTTAATTTTCTTATAAATTAATTTTTGATTCCACAAATTACTAAAACTCAAATTATATCTATCTCCAGACAAAGCAAGGTGGTAATTTGGCAATTTTCTACTTTGAGGCCTGAATTATCTTCCTTAATCATCTATTCTGCTCAACTTCATTATAAAAATGATCGATTTACCACCTTACTTCACCTGAGGAAGACAATACTGTAGAATGTGGGTCCCCAGATAGAACAACCAAATGCTACCTGGGGACAGATGAACATGTGTGTGTAAGTAACTCAAATTGTTCCAATTATTCTTTTGCTTATAAAACAATTTCTATATGAGTTCCAAAAGCATATACTTTGAAGCAAGATCCATTAGCATACAACATTTTCTTCTTGTGGAAGCCAACTCACAATAAATCTCTTACCTTGTAGAGAGATGGAACAGCACAGGGCTCATAATAGGATGAGTGATGCATAAAATGTTCTTCAGCTGACTTCCCGTGGGATTTATATTTCCAAACCTAGGAACACCGTCTGCCTGCACGGATGGAATGCTAAGCAATGCAGTAAAACAACCAATGCGCTATGTATAGTTTTTCGACTTAGGGAAATTTAGAAGAAACTATAAAATAAGTAAACAAGCAAGCATATGTCTAAAACTTATAGCACAAATTAGCTGGAAAAATACACGGCTTAAATAAGGAAGCTTAGTGATAAGCTGACATTTTTAGTGTGATTGTGTAAATAATATGCTTTTACTTAGAAACTGAAGAGTTATTGCATTCTTGGTTATATATTTAAGAGAGAAATTGTATTATTGTATAACGCAAGTATTCTTCAAGGAAATCACTGGATCTGAATTACAGATAAAACGTTGGTCAAAGAATCAATGTTTTTTTTTCCCCCCAAAGTACCCCAAGAGAATAAAGAGAAATGAATCTAAGAAAAATAAAATGAGAAAATTTTACATGTTCAAATTCTAATTACATTTCCTCATTTATTTGTTTGAAAAAATTATCCTTAATTTTTTAAAAATATAGTTTCAAATCAGACTTGTTTCCAGTCTAAATTTAGCCTCCATTCATTGTGTCATATTTCTTCAGGCATGAGAAAGAAAATCAATGCCCCTACTCACCTTTGGAAGAATTTCACTGCCAAGTCTCCATGGTTCTGTGGGATCCAATAATCCGTGGCTCAGTATTGATTTTTCAAAGACACCTGTAGAAACAGCCTCTCCTTCCTTTCTAACAAAATATAGCAACAAAAATCGTGTAGTTTCTGAATGAATTAAGCACAGGCTATTAAGCACAACTTCATCCTGCAAGGAAATGTGGTTTATATTTTCTAAGAATGTTAACTTTGCTTGATTTTTCTGAGCCATTTAACAACTGTTTAAAGGCAATGTGAACATCTATTTTCAAAGTTAATTTGAACATAATTTTTTTTTAGGTTTCTGGCAGCTAACTCATGTATTGCAAATAGCATTTATTTTTCTAAGGAAATAAACGAACGGTAAAGCTTATCCAAGTTCAATTCACAATTGCAAAATATTTCCAAAATCAAGACCTTTTTTGAATATATTTTAAAAAAAAACACAATCATGCTTTTAAAATCTAACGCTTTGGTGAGCGAGAGGACCTTCAATGGAGTAGAGTAGAGTACATCAAATCCTAGGAGAGAGAGTGGGTTAAATTTTGGGTGTATTTTACAGCATTAAAAGAGTTGGAAGAATAGGCAAGAACCAGCAGCCTTCCCACTTTCCTTGACAAACACAAATGCAAAAACACACCCCAAAAACTCATGTTTCCAGCATTCTTCACACACCTGATTTAAACCTCAAAGGTATTTGTTTCACCCTGGGCAGACTTCTTTGGGCATGTCTGAATATATTCCCTGCAGCCATTCTGCGCTGAGTGGAGTAACTACAGTTGGCAACCTACTCCATCACTCACTCCATCAGCTTGAGAATCTGCAAAATAAAAATGCAGTGTTAAAAAAACAAACAAACAAACAAACAAAAAAAACTTCCTTTTACATTTGCCTCTCCCAGTAAAATCCTAGGGAAGAAAACACAAAGCAGGTTGTTTCCCACAATACATGTGACATCTTAGTTAAAAGTGACAGGACCATGTTGCACTCTGACAGGTTTAGTGTTAAGATCTGACAGATATAAACCTGTAAGAACAACCTCCCTGCCACAGATATTTAAGCTCATGTGAAAACTTTGATTTGATAGTCCCTTGATTAGCTTTTGCAACAGTGAGTACTACTGCCTTTCAAGTTCATTATAAATTACGCTATTCATCACATTACTGTCTATTTAAGCTCCCATTTTATTAAAATGCAGGCATTTTAACTACTCATCAAACCTGTGCACATTTTTGAGTTAAAGAATTAGATCAATCCAAACTCCACTTCTCAAGGGAGAGGTTCCATTGTTTATCAGGCCATGTCTACACTGGCTGAGCAAAGCGCTCTGTTCAGAAGGAGAAGCGCCTTTGGCAGCTAGAGTCCACATAGCTGACCCATGGATGCTCGGGTGGAGCTTCTTCACCTAATTACACAAGTGCAATGAAATTACCAAACATTTGATGAAAATGACCCATGACGACAAAAAAGCATGACGTGATGGTTGTTCTAATCTATTCACATGGTAGTCACTTACAGTGTAATTCAAAGGACCTATAAGAATGAGAAGGAAGAATGATTACACTTTACACTAGAAGATGAATGTGGGTATTGCAACAGTTGATAAGTCAACATTTGGTTTAATCCGAGTCATTCTTCTTAAACAAGACAGTAGTGGCACAATTTTAAAATGCAATACTTTTTCCTAACTGGTCTGGGTTAAACTCACAACTCTAATCGTATATTTATGGAGAAAAATCCTCAGGGTTTAAATAATTGAAAATAAGATTTCGCTCTTACAAAAAATAATGGGTCAGAAGGTAATCAATATTTTAGAGGAAATATTTATACTCTTCTGATGGTTCAAGATTCAGGAACAACTATGTATGTATTCTATTCTGGCGATAGTACAGTGCCCTCAAATCTTCTTGAACATTAAGATTCTTTTAGCAATTTTTAGAATAAAAAGAGGTTTAGCAGAAAAGTTATACTAAACAGCTGTGAAATTACAGGGTTTCCCTTCCATCCACCCAAACACACTCCACCCTGTGACATAGCAGATACAACACTAACCACCTTTGGCATTATGCCAGCCTTCCCCATAGGTGAGCTGGCAGAATTGGACCAAATTGCCTTGAAGGAACAAAACCTGTCTCTCCTTTGTGAGTGCCTTAAAGGGCTTCAGAGAGCATCCATTTCAATTCACTGAAGAGAGAAGTGAAGATTTAAATGTGTGGGAATCTATCAGAACTATGATCTTCGAGATATACTTACTTCTACCAATATCACCCCCAAATAAATTATTTAGGTCAAACTCCAAATACCAGTTTCCACAATCACTTGGACTTTGTGGGCAGGAGTATTTCATGTGTTTGTCAGTCCTAGCTTCAGATTTTCAAGATAAATGTTCAGTCTGTTTCAGTTTGATAATTGTGTGCAATCTTTAATATCAAATCCCCTTTTGCTGGCTGCAAAATTCCCACTGCAGACTGAGTCATGACAACATATGGGTTCGTAAGTTTTTAAATGACAATTCAAATTATAAAACAAAAGAAACCTAAGTTGTCTAAGAATTGCCTTATTTAGCAAAGTTAATCTAAGGACAGTTGAATCTTATATCTTCTTTTCCTATATGAAAGCCCTGAGGGTTTCTAAATATAAAACTACTGTCAACATCTTTGCCACAATAATCTTTGATGAGGATGATGATGATGAGATAGCAAACACCCTCATGGTACTTAACTTTGTGCCTGTCCTCAATGCCTTGCATACATGAACTCAGTCCCATAACAACCCTGGATAAGCATTATCCAGCCCATTTTACAGATGAGGAAACAGAATCGCAGAGACAGGAAGTAAATTGCCCTGGATCAGGTAATTAGTAAGAGGTAGAGCTGGATCTGAATCTAGGCAATCTGGCTCTACTCTTACGTTGCACAGTAAAGTGCTGGGCTGAGCCATGGTAATGAAACTGGTATATCATTACACATAGAGATTTAAGTTAAAACGTGGTGTTTTTACATTGGCTCTTTCCTTCCTGTATGAGTGGAATTAATATGCCTGGAACTAGAGCTTCACTCTGTGAACTATTCTATCATATAGGCTCATTGTCCTACTTCTCGCTCATAGGCGTTTTCTTGCATGTTGAACCAGTGTCTCCACCTTTCAGAATAAGTTAGATGTAGTCTGGAGCAAAATTTATTCCCCTTGATCATCATTTCAGATACCACTATACCTTTAAAACTTAAATTTTTAGATGCTCATAAATGTGGAAAAGGCTAAGAAAGGAATTGTGAGAATAGCAACGATTAAATAGGGCCTCTGAGTATAGCATGTAACTAAATGTAGCCTTATGGAAACAGGTCTCCTGAGATCCAATCCTGATGGTACCTGTTGCAAGTTGGATGAGTTATTTTTATCTTTCTATGACTTAGCACTCTCATCTATTAAATGAGAATAAAATAGTACTACTGTTCAGGATTGTGAAGATTAAATAAAGTAATCCATGTAAAATGCTGAACCCATGACACATAGCAAGCACTTGACAAATATAAGCTATTGTTACAATTACGTTTAGTTTATATAGACTAGTTTCCAGCAGCAATTAAGCACTAACAATTAAAAGTTGTCATTTGGGTGTGAAAGTATGAATACAGATTTGAGAAAAATGGGTTGAGGTCACAGGAAATCCTTTCAGCACACGGACAATTTGGCTTTAAAGATTCATTGAGGCCAGGTGCAGTGGCTCACACCTATAATCCAAGCACTTTGGGAAGCTGAGATGGGAGGACTCTTTGAGGCCAGGAGCTCGAGCCCAGCCTGGGCAACATAGAGTGATCCCCCCCTATCTCTACAAAAAAAAAATAGAAAATTTTCTGGGTGTGGTGGTGCACACCTGTAGTCCCACCTACTCGGGTGGCTGAGGCAAGGTTGGCTTGAACCCAGGAGTTTGAGGCTGCCGTGAGCAATGATCGTGCAGGCCAGCCTAGGTGACAAAGTGAGACCCTGTCTCTAAAAAACAACAACAAAAAATTCACTGAGACACATCTTCACCAATAATTTTATTCCTCTTTATATTTTTGAGAACATAGGCAAATCATAGAATATGACAGAATCTCCTAAAAAGTCATGGGAGCTTACAATATTGTCAGACACTCGCCTGATAAGCCAGAAGCAGCTGTTTCTACATGGCAAAGTTCTAAATAACATAAAAGGATTGCTTGCTGAATTGTTTGTTTTTTTGTATCCTAACCCGCATTTCTATACTGTTACTTAAGTCAAATTGACCTTGACGGCAGTGATGTAATTTTAACCACTGTGCAATTCAACAGTAGTAACACTGTCCATATATTCATTCGCTTTGTTGGTTTCTTTCTTTGCCCCCTTCCTTCTCAATATTCTAAAGGCTTAGGTTTGTGCTTAAGTCCAAACTCTTTGAGGCCAAATAGGCAACTTAGAAATGGCTGCTTACGGCCCTAAAATAGAAATGTCCATCGCAAAGAAAGAGTAACTCAAGTACTAGGCGAAAATGACTCGCTGGATGCCCACTTGCGTGGGGCTAGTCCGTAAATGCCATACGAAGGAAATGGAATGAAATGAAACCTTTTCCCCTCCATTCTAAAATGGATACCATCGCCAGAGAAAGCATGAAAAGCCCTAAGGTCCAGAAGCTAATCTATGTAAATCTCACACTTTTGCTTGGACATTCCCAGGATGCACTAAACTGCCTTTGTGTGGTCTGGGCACCACGGGACTGGAGTACCACTTGCTGGTCCCCGGGGGGCTGGAAGTGAGGACAGACTCCTCTGCCTCCTTTCCCAGGACCCCAGAGACCAGATATTCTTAGGCAATCCTCAGGGGAAGGAAGTCTTGGTGTATAGACTAGCGCCTTGGTCAACAATTAAAGTTTTGAAGAACGGGGCCAGTGGGATGAAGAGAGTAGACAGAAAAGGGACGTGGAGAGACAACGGCCATGGAGTCTCAACTTCAGTTCTACAATTGCGCCCATGCTAGCTCACCACCATCAACCTTCAGGTCTCTCATCAGACCTCACAGGCTCATAAACTCACAGACCAGAGACTCTTCATTCTGAAACGAGATCTCAGCAATCATCAGCCTCCAGTTGTTTCAACGACAGTCATCTGCCTAAAATCTCGAGTGAGTAGTAGCTCTAGGATTAGAACCCGTTGAGGTAGAAGAAGGTGAAGTGTTATTTCAAGTGAACATGAAGTCTTTATTTCCAAGTGGAAATGCCAGGAAAGACACACACAACTTGTACAGGCAAGAGACGTCAGCAAACCTCGACTGAATTACCGACACAGATGACCAAGAGGACACAGAGAATGAGGACCGTGAGGATCTACGCAATGTAATCTGGTTTCTTCCTTGAGATGACCGAGCCCCCCTGGCAAAGGAAACGGACTGTCGCAGTGACTATATGCAAAGTTAGCTGGTGAGCAGGCTTTCTGTGTGAGAGCATCTTTGTGTCACTCAAGCACGGTGCCAGGCACAACATTTTCTTCATCATTTTCTACAAATATTTCTATTATTAAATATTTTCTATTAATTTTAATTATTTAATTTATTAATTCTAATAATTTTCTATTATTAAATATTTCTACAAATATTCGCAGCTGCTGCTGCTATTTCCTGACTCCCTCCCCAGGGTCCATCCAGTGTGTTTTCAGATTTTCTTTTTTTTAACTTTCAATTTTATTTTTGTCAAATAATATCAACTTAGTGCTATTTTTTTAATTTTCCATTTTTTTGTCAATGTTTTTCAGATTTTCTGAACAAAATACAAAATTCTTATTTTCGTGTGGCAGTTTCATTTTTTTCTTA